CTCGGAAAAATCCAGAACGGGAACTCAACTAACGCAGTGTAAATTGAGATTTCTATTTATTGTCGGCAACACAACACAGGAAAAAATATTATTGCATAATGAATGAATGGATGAATATAAAAAAATTAACAACTAATATGTATACTTTTTGCTACTGCTTAAAAGAAATTAACATTTGATGTGAAAAGTTGATAAATTTGCAGGATACCAATAAGCCCAGTAAATTTATGTATTTGCAAATACAAATAAATTATGTATAATTAATATTTAAAGAAATACTTGATTGATATCAGTATTATTTTAAAATCTTTAAGCCACATTTTTCCCTCTGCATTCGTAGCAGGCCATCAAGTGTTTGCAATATATTTGCTGGCACAGTTCAGTTCAGTTGGGTTTGGTTTAGTTTTATGCAGTCCAGTCGCCCACATCCACTTTTAAATTTTCCGCTCTCTGTCACCAAGTTGACGCGGTCTGGCTTTATAAAGTCGCTTAAGTATTTTTAATGGACTTTTAAGTTTGCTTTTATTGTTTCATTCGTATTGCTTTTATGTTGTTGTTTGCTGCATTCTCGGGAAAACATTTATATGCACTGGTGTTTATTGAATTCACTGAACTGTTGAGAAATTTCACTCTAAGGTAGTAAACAATTTTTTTTTAAGTCAGTATATCTGAAGCATATACTTATCAACATTCCACCTGATTTTATCAATAATTTAATTTCTTTTTATTGAAAGTGGATACTATAAAGCATATTTTACTGTAAATAACGTTTATCTATTTAAGATGTAATTTTCTCTGAGTGCAAGTTTTTTCTATAGTTTCTGGAAAAAGCTCAATTGAACAGAGGTATTATGTGAACACATTTTGCAATTAAAGATAAAACAAAATTGAAGTTTGCTTAAGAAGTTTCGCTCTAAACACTCATCCATATTTGTAACAGTTCATTTAGGGTTGCATTAAATTCACTTATAACAAAAACACGTACAAACTATAAAGCTTTCTTGTACTTCACATATACAAGCTAAATACTAATTAACATTTGCATACGAGTATACTTTAACAAAATATATACATTTATAAATTTAAAACAATGCACAATCCTTTAAGCCATCTGAACTCGGTTTAGTATTTTTTTGTTGGTTTATATACCTTTATCATGCTAATATTGGATTTATATTAAGTGATTTTCGCCCACCAGGCTTATCCAACTAAACTGTGATCAAACTAATACATATTTGCATGGCAATCAGCTAAATTTCCTTAATCAGAAGTAAATAAACTCCACTGAGAAAATGGCATAAGTTCTTCTTCCATTTTCCTTCGGGCGGTAAGAGCAGGGTAAATACAATTAACAACAGTTGGGCGTTTGTTTCGCTACCGAATTTCCCCCATCTATTAATACATATTTGATCTACTTATTTCAATCAATGTTCTGTCAACTACTTTTCGGTTACTCCCCCATCCGTGGGACTAAAACAAACTGTCAATCATAGGGAAAATTCCCCGGGGATCCGCATTGTGTGGGATGTGCTGGAGGCGCTGGCTTTATTATGGAAATTAAATTGATATTTAAGTGACACATTGCGGCGACGGCAGGGTGAGCAAGATAAATTTCGGCTGACGGCAAATTGTTGGCCCATACGTCCATTGTTAAGATGAAATTAAATTTTTATGGGCTTAAACTGGGCTCAGTTGTTGTACTTTCCTCGTCCCAAAAATATATGCCACGACATCTAATGAAGCAGCTTTGTGTGTGTGTGTGGTCAGCTTATGGCTTTTTGGGCTGGCATTTTGGTATTTTGACCTTTCGGCCTTGGGGGCTAGCAGGCGCCTTGCGGCTGTAAGGTTTAATTAATATGCAAATGGACAGAGAGCAGGCAAAGGAGTTGGCCATGCCGAGAGCAGCAATTTAAATTTAGTTCTCCCCTCTTTAATGAACTCTGAGCACCGAAAGTTGTGTTTCTGAAATATTTATTGGACCGCAACTTGGTCCATATGCGGGAATGGCCAACTTTGAGCGGCCTCGGGCACTCGAAGCAATTCGGCTGACCTTCTGCTGCATATTCATTGGGGGGTGGGGAAATCTGGCCGCCATTTGCAATTCGTAGGCAGTACATTTCCGGTTTTCGGAAGTGCATTTCCGCTTCCGCCGGCCATCTCTGCTGCACTGTGCTGCTCTCCACCAGGCCTTCGCCACAGTTTGCTGCACATCAATTTGATATTTGACAGAAGCGCTCAAAAGTAATGCACTTACTGGCCATTCAACCAATTTGGTTACACGATTTTGATGCAATTTATTGCACTGCACGCCCCACTGGCGACCACTTGTGAAATTGATTTGATTTTTATTAGCATTTTATGCGATTTGCTGAAGTGTTCATGGTGCAGTGACTGGTTCGAATGGTTGCAGCCAGGCTGCCCGGGGAATTAAATTAAACACGTTCAGGTCGGTCGGCCAGCTGAAGTGTACGGTATACACACACACATTTTGTGCGGCCAGCAAACCAGGTGGACCAGATATTTCTCATTGTTTGCCCGCAGTCGAGTTTCCTTGCTTTTCCTTCCTCCTGTAACCACATATACAGAGAGGAAAAAAAAACCACAGGAATTTGGCACGTCTTCAACTATATACGTTATTTTCGTGGGATTAGTATTACTTTAATTTAAATTATTTAACTCTGATTCACATAACAATAGTTAAAATTTAAAGTCTGATACCTACTTTAATTAATCAATTTTTATAGAAAAATAATAAAAGAAATGGTTAATGATTATCAACAACAATATAAATTATTTTGCTGAAAAATTGGCTTCGTGTTTATTTTCCAGTAAAGTAATGAGTCAAAAGTGCACATATTAAAAATGAATAAAAGTGATATTTTTGGCAGTACATACACCAAAATAAAGCCTTAAAACATAGCTGACTCGCAGTCGAATGCATGTTTGCCATATCGAATTTCACACTTTTCCGCCCACTATACCTCATTGTGTTCCCTTGAGAGGGAAACGGAACAATGAAAAACAGGAAAATTTAACGGGCAACAAAAAGAGGCAATCATTGAAACGTTTTTTGCTGTTGCCCTCGTCACCTGCCATTGCAACTGCAAATCCATCAGAATCGTATTGGATTTTTGCTGCAACGATATTAATGTGTTTTACCGCTTTTTGCCAGCCGTATTGCCTGCTGTTTATGATTGTAAAAGAACCATATCACCAGCAATTCAAAGTGGAACACGGTACGGAAATCTTAATTAGCGGATTCTATTTTTGACAGCAGTAGCTTAAAGATTTTCAAATAAACATATTCATTTCCTGGACAAAAAATGAAAAAGTTAACTTTAGTTTCTTTTTTCCTTATACTAGGAACCACAAAAAACAGCCTCAATGCAGAATGTTTTTTCGAACTGATAATTCCATGAGCAGGACAATTAAACGGAAACTCGAAGCCTGTGCAAATTTTAATAGAAATGGGAGCACTAGTTTTCAATTCAAAGCCGCTTAATTGGACGTAATTATGGACCGACTGCCATGTCAGAGCAGAGCTACATCCGACCCATGTCCACATCCAAACTAACATCCACATCCCGCTGACCATTTACCACTGACCGCAGTGGGAGGTCCTGGTTGCCAGGACCAGCTTTTTGGTCTGGACGTGTCAGGTCAGCGGGAATCGGGTATGCAGAATACCCCTCTTTGAGATCGTGTGAGCAGGGCAAGTTTTGAGCACATAATAAATATTTATTAGGCCGCTGCTGCTTGCCAAAAATTTAATTTGTTTTCATTAAGCCAGACAAAGCGATTAAGGCAGCTGCAAATATACAGTTGAGCTTCGGTAGCTTAAGCTTCCTTAAATGTAATTTGCTTCGGCTCGTTAAAAGAACGAGGCAATTGCTTTAAAGCTTTAAAGACATTATAACAAGCCTTTAAAATATATGATGAATAAGTTATTTGTATTTGGAAAATAAATAATTTGATTCATAGCTTGACATATTTTTTAGCCAAAGTATTCAGTTTAAGCAAGTTTGACTGTGTAAAAATGAGCCAAGATGCCTTCAAACAACTTGGTGCTGGAAAAATATGCTTGAAATTAAAAAGGGTATTTCCTCTGGGGTCCTCAATGTCAGCGTCGTCGCCTTGACGTGGCCAAAAACATTTCGCTGACTTAATTGCGCGCAACCCAAGCAGATAAAAAACGAAATGAAAAAGTTTGGGGCTCACCGAAAAAGTGGAAAAACGCGAAAATACGAAACAAAAGCGCTCAAAGCGATGAGAAAAGCGCGTTCAACGCTGAAATCGGTGGGGTGGCTGAGTTTTTTGGGCGGTGACGAAATAACACAACAAAACAAAATTAAAGTAAATATGCGCCCGGATCCACAGACAAAGTAGAAGGGCAAACAAAGCCGAGTCCTGACAAGGGGTCGAGCGACAGGAGAGACAAGGATGTCAGTAAACAAAATCACAATTAACTGAGAATGACGAAAAATAACAGCGCCAAAGGAGCAGCGAGCATGTGACAATGGAGCCGATCCTTGGGCTCGCTTTAAGGTGGTTACAAAAAAATGCGGGGGAGAGCAGCTCAAGGACGAAGGACCTGTCATAAAACAGTTTAATTGCGCACCCACATCGCCTGGCATTGATTGGGAGCGCTGAAGTCTATTCAAATTGGAGCCAAGGACAAAATGGAATACTTAATGATTGGAAAAGGGTTTTCGGGTCTTAAGCGTGTAGATTATAGTGACAATGACATGGGAGCGGAGTTCCATTAAATTTTTTGTTAACACTTAGGTCCTTATTATCCTTTGCCTACTTGGGGAATGAATTAGTTCTGGGAGCCAATCCGTATACTAAATGTACATTTAAATTGGGTGTTTTAGTTGGCTGGATGTGGAAAAAAAAACTATTGTGTACAATATACTTTTAACTTAAAAAAAGTTTTGTATATGTTAGCTTAATTATGGTTTAAAATTCATTCCTGCGGGACCAATATCATTATTTAATAATTAAGGAGCACAGGAATCTCTTTAATTTATTCCAAGTAAGATATTTCGTGAAAAGACAGTTGTTTTTGGGTTTTAAATATTATAGTGACGATGACAGCGTCGTACAGCATCATTGAACTCCTTGCACACATTGAGATCATCACTTTGCTCGGTGCACTTGAGGAATCTTTTCATCTCCGAGGCACATGGACCATCCTCGACCAGATCGCTGTGCCGCTGCTGATCGCCACGCCCCCTGAACAATCCGGTTATCCCTGCGCCCACCGCGTGACCCACTGCCGATCCGGCTGCCACGCCCGCTGCTCGGGCGGCCACGTCCTTGAAGAGGGTCTCCGAAGTTCGGGTAGAGGGCAATTCGGCTGGTAAGTAACTGGTGGCGCTGGGCTTGGCCGAAGTACTTCTTTGCCTGCGCGGCATTTTGTTAGCTTTTTATATTAGGCTTTCAATTTTCTGTGTATTTCGAGCTCAAAAAATTATGACTTGTATTCAAAGGGCAGCCTGAATTTGGAATGTCATGTGGCACGCATAGTTTCCAGGCCTCCCCCGAGTATCCATTTTAATCAGCTTTGTCAGCTAATTCAAATTGCATTGCCTGCCAGCTAATTGCCGTATGCATGCCACAACGCCACCTGGCGGCCAGACCTGCAGCAGTAAAAAAAAAAATATTTCTAATTTGTTTTCCCTTTCGCTTTTTGCGCTTGCTTTTCCCATTTCCCGCACTAATTACGAACACATAATGAATTTGTCGGCAAACGCGAAAGGTATGAAAGCAAAATAAACACAAAACTCCAGCTGCCTTCTCTTTCCAAAAATTCCCCAAGGAAAGGGGCTAATCTGCTACATACACTGCAAAAAGAAAGGTTTCCCAAATAAATTTTGAATTATATTTGTTTGTTCTTTATTAATTGTTCACAATTATATAAATCTTGTAATTTCGAGACTTGTTTTGATAGCCACCAGTGTTTCTTGACATGCATCTTCACTACCTTTTTTACTCCCATACTTTGCAGTTAAAAAAGCGAAAATTGTTCACTAGCTATATACCACCAAAGAATATTCAAAGAGCTATACTTCTGCTTTTGATATTCCACAAAGTCACTCCCATATCATATAAGTGAGTACACCGAAAGTGCTTTAATTAGCCAAGAGCATGCAATAGTTGGGCTGACTAATTCTATCTTTTTCGAGGAAAAATGAAAATAGAGCGGCAAAACTGCCAAAGTTTGGGCCTTATTCGAATTAAGCTGCGGCACTTATTCAGAGTTCTGGCAGCGAGTTCATGTGGCAAAAGAGATATTTCATTGAATTATTGCCAACCGCAGCAGCGAAAGGGAAAACCAAATAGACCCTGATGCAAATGCCATTTGATAGATGCTGTGTTCTATTTGGAGAGTGCGAAATTCGGTCCACTTTCCCCCCTCTCGCCCCTTCCATTTGAGGCCATGTTAATCAGCAGTATACAATTTCCACTCACTCTGTTATGAATTTTCAAGCCAATTATATTTGCTCGCTGAAAATGTTCTGTGCGTCTGGCATGTGAATAAATGTGACAGCAGCTGATGCCACTTTTTCCTGCAAAATATACAGTCAACGGAATGCTAAGTTAATTTTGTTTGTTGTTCTGGCTAGAACTTAATTGGCCCATCTCCCTTTCGATCCTAGAAAATGTTTATAAATCAATCAACATCAATAATGTTTCGGCAAGCAAGATGGATGGCCTGGAATGCTGAGATGAGATGAGATCAGGAGCTGAATTCTCGTTGATGGCTGCCCGCATAATGCCAATTAATTTGCTTCGCTGAGTCTGTTTTTATACCCTCTTAAGGAGCACTGGTAAATGGAAATGTGTCTAAAAAGACTTAATTTGTAAATCGCGAATTGACAAACAGCTTAACAATTGACAAACAAAAATTAACCATTTGTTTTATTTTCAATACAACAATATTCCTATACTGATAGTTTTTCGGGGAATTTATCATACTTTAAATTTCAAACATCTACCATGTAAAAATACATGCATTTACAAAAATAGAGAACTTTTTTAAAGCATTCACTTTAATAAAATCAAAGATGGACCCACTTATACTAGGCTGTTTTACTTAGATACATAATATCCTACTCTATTTATTTCTTGAGTTATAGGTTGTTTCAAAATTCCATTCAACGTTTTAATTTTATCTTCCAAGCTTATTTATTATATTTTTAAATACAAATATTTCTTAATGTCAAAACTGAATCCACAGATCACCCTCCATCGTTTTTTGCTACCATTTTACCTAAATGGGACCAACTATTTTGTAAGTTAACCATCTTTATCAATTTTCTAGCTGATTTCGAATAAATTGTTTCTTGATTCTCACATTTTTCATAAGGTGTAACACTTTTTTCTTGAAAGTTACCCAAAATTTATTTTATTTCTAATGAGAATTGATTAAGGAAATTATTACGAATTAAAGAAAGTATGACAATTTATATGTGGACCTTGTTTTCCTGTATTTGTACTCAATAACGTTAATTTTTATATTTATTTTTGTTCCTATCTATTTGCTCTTCCCGGTCTGGTGCTCGTATATATGTTCGACCTCAGACATTGTAACGTCGGCGGCACTGCTGCATAGCTTCGTTGAACTCTTTGCAAACGGAGAGGTCATTGCCGTTCTCCTCGGTGCACTTGAGGAACTGCCTCAGCTCGAATGCACAAGGACCATCCTCGACCAGTTGCAGTGGCTTGGGTGCCGAAGATGCAGCTACTTGCTGTGGCTGTTCACACTTCTCCTGTGCCGGTGCAGACTGACCACGTCCTTGGAACATCCCGGTGAGTCCTGCACCCACAGCATGGCCCACGGCGGATCCGGCAGCCACACCGGCCGCCGTGGTGGCCATGTCCTTGAACCGCTCCCCCGTGGTGGATCCTTTGGTCTCGGCAGCTGGAGCTGCAGGGGTCGCTGCTGCTGGCAGCGATTCCTTCTTGGGCTTCTGCACCGCCGGCAGGTCCTTGCTGCTGCCACGGGATGGCTTTGCGGCAAAGACATGACTGCTTCGGCTATTTTGACGGCGCAGTGACCCACCGGATCGACTCTCGGACCGTTGACGAGGCATATCCCTTAGAATCGCAGGAAAAGAGCAAGCAAATAGAGGTGGAAAAGCGTTTACTGACTTACTTTCACCAAGAAAGCTAAATTTAGAATGACAAATGCTCGCTTCTGACCTTTCCAGAGTCGACTGGCAGGGCCAACTGACATATATGGTGTATCCCCAAGCATCCCACTTGAACTCTGTCCGGTAGTTTTTGTTACACAGGAGTCGCTGTGACTAATTGCAAAGTGCACGCCACCACTTGACATATTAAATTATCTTTAGCTTTGTCTTTTGATATATGCAATTAAATCCTCCAGGGAGTCATACTCATACGAGATTTATTGTAAGGGTGATAAAAAAAAACAATAATCATAATCACTCTGTGAATGCAAGAATAATAATTAAATGAAATAAAAATATTTAAATATTTAACAACCAATTTTGTGTGTAGCTTTACTTTTATTTAAAGAATAAAATAATAAATAAATAAAAATAATAAAAAAGTAATTTCTTTTCAATCTTTTAAAGTTAATCGTACTGATATAATAATAATATAAATACAAATATTATATTAGCAGGGATTTGAATTATTCATCTATACCCAATTACAATTAGATTCCAATGCCCTGCTTCACTGGAAATATATTCGCATGTCGAGAGACCAACAGGGCGTTTCATTCCTTTTGACAGGCACTTTTGCCAGTCAGCAGCTGCGTTAAAGTTTGCGCAAACATATTGCTCTCTTGCGGATCTAGAAGATATGTGCGAGATATCTGTGCGAATTCATTTGCATCCACGATTGCCGCATATTCCATTTGCTGTTTGCTGTACTGGTACGCTTTCAATGTGGAAATGCACTCAAGTGACAGCATGGGCGTGAGTTTGCCTAGTTGTGCTGATTGCACTTTGTGTAAATTGAACGTCCACGGCCGCAGTGCGTAAGATTAATATTGCCGGAGGTTTGGGGGGGAGGGAGCAGGCAGCTAATTTCGGGCACTCATTTCCATTTCTAACCATCGCTCACAACCTAATTCATGGCTCGCAAGTGGCTCTCAAGTGTTTCCCATTACAACCACCTCCGATATCCGAGTATATATACTCCAATGCCTCAATTACTCTGGCCATTTTCACCAACACTGTCTGGCCGCTGAAAAATACAATTAAAGTCGCTCATACAACGCCACTTGCAGACCAACTCGACCATTCATAACTGCATGGAGAACCGAGAATCGAGAATGGCGAATGGCCAACATTTCAAATGCGGTAAATTACAGTTAACGATTTTGTAGCACAGCAATTTTCCTTATCTCTAGATGTCTATCTACGGTTTGTAAATGTATTTCCACGTAGCTGCCCCGAACACCGTTTGTTTTGCATGTCAGCCGGTGAGTTCTATTCTTATATTCAACCCACAAAGCCACCTTTTATGGCCATCGGCCAGAACTAAAGCTGGAGCTATTGTGGCTAGCATAGCCAAGTGTGTCTGCACTGGCAAAATGATCCCAAACTCGGGAAAACACTATGCAAATGAGGATTGAGTCGAGTCAAAACAGCAGCACACAAGACACAGACTCTATAAATATAATGAATTTAAATTGAAAAAAATGTGATGTTATTATTTGTTTAAGCAATTAGTTTTAGTTTCAATAACCCTTTAGTACCTCACAATTCCAGAAATATAAATTTTAGTTTTAGTGTTGTTTAGTAAGTCTGCATTATTTTAGTGTCCTGATAAAAACTTTACTCCAAAATACTATATTTCTATATTTTCCCCCAGTGTCCGTTTGCGGTTAACAAATGTAGGAACACTGCCATAAAGGTGTTGAAATAACTGCTGCACCGTTGAACTCGCCTCCTTTGTTTGCCTTTCGTGGCCGGCGTTTCTTGGGCTCGATTGTTACGGCGTTTTATGGTTATTGTGTCGGGGGCGCAATGCAAATTGCCGCCACATAATTATGTCGCAGTCAAGGGGAAAATGTATATGCTATGGTATATATGGGATAGGCCAGCCGTAGAGCTGGACTTGCAGTCAACAATGGGAAAATCAGTGCCAGATTGGGAGCTTCAGAGTTTTGCAATTGGACGAAAAGTTGTGATTGCCACACCTGAACAAGTCAAACTTTTTTATGTCTAATTAGTAAGCGACAGTAACAGTTCCAGCAAACTAATTTATATAAAAAACAGCTTTAGCTTGGCAATCAAATAATAGAAATGAGAACTTTTAATTTGCTAACGCCCTGGCAACTCACGCAATGGAAACACGGAAAACTCCAGGGGAAAAAGCAGACGAATACAGCAAAAACAAATGTTGCTTAGACGTTAAGCTCAGTAAAATCAGTTACTAATTGCAATGTCCTTTTTGGCGATAGGAAAGCAAATTTAATCTACCAATGGAAATATTTTATAGCAAATAGAGTCAATACTGGTATATATTTTTTGTTTTGTTTTATTTTATTTACAAAAATCTGTTGTATAAAACTTCCAGGATTGGATATAAATTTAAAATTTACCAAACGTCTTAAATTGGTAAGACAAATCGTTTGCACTTTAGAATACTTTCTGTTGAATTGTTAACAGTTTCTGTTATCTTGATTTTTTCTTTTCACGAAGCGTATTTTTACACAGAAAAGCACCCTAAGAAAGCCACCCACTACTCCATTTGGCTTTCATCAAGTGTCAGGCTGCAGTTCCTGCTCCTTGACTAATGATCGCGTGCCAATGCAGTGGCAATCTGCCATTACAATAGTGCAACTTCACGCACGTATTTCCCGGGGGATAGGCAAACAAATGAATTTAGATTTCAGGGGGCTGACGTTCCATATAAATGGCCCCGGTTTGCACGGAGGTCAACATTTTGCAGGCAATTTTTAAGCTTAATAAACGGGTCCTTGATTATATTTAACATTCTCCGCGCTTATTAGCTGGGCCCCAAAAATTAAGCTTGAAATTAATGATTGCACTTCGGGATGGGAAGGAGATGCAAAGGCTTCATTGTGTGGGCTTGGCAACTTGATAATGTGCAGATTAAAATTTTCGCAGGCTCTTTATGCTGAGTTTTCCACTTTTCTGCTTTATGAAGTGAGCGGCGCGAAAAGTTTCAATGCTTAAGCAGCCGCAAAAGAAGTTTTTAATGAAAATTAATCATGCGCACACTTGACTGCCTTCGAGTAGCTTGAAGCGAGGAACCCAAGACGTATCGCTCGGGAATAAGCCAAGTTGGGTTCTCTTATGCCAGGCAGCCACGCAAGGCGGTTCCAAAAAATTTATGGACTTGCTCCAGTTGACATTCGATATAAATCAGGTCGCTGCAATTAGGGAACGCGCTAAATTGGACCGGATCACGACAAACACTATCGTTTTAAGGCCAAAAGACCCCAGAGAGCTGTCCTATTTTCGTTGAAAAACTGCCCCCCAAGGCCTTCGGTAGACAAATCCTGGCCACAGGTGTTTATTTAATTAATTTACATAAATCAACTGGGTGCAAAACGCTCACATGTACATGCACACCGAACTGCCCTTGCATTTAATAAGTAATTAATTTTAAATCAGCTTATTGACCCAACAACAGGTCTGGGCCTAAAAACTGTTTACTCTAATTAAATGACAGAGCTGCAGAACAAATAAATAGAGTTAAGCCAGTATTTATGTTGCGGTGCGCATACGTGGCGTATGCGCAATGTTGACGATGAACTTGGATTATGGGCATAAAGCAAACCAGGCAGATAATTACACAAATAATATTGATTGCTTTAAGAATTTAAAGGTTGCTGGTATTTTGCGAATACCCTAACTAATTGCCAGCGACAGCTACAAATTCCTTACTCCATTGTCTGCACAATTTTGCACTAAATAAATTGCGCCCAGGCAAATAAATAATGCATGGTTGAAGAAAACGTGAGAGGGGGCATGCAAATAATGGCGGGCTCTTTCCACCATCCAAATCACATTGAGTTATTGCATTTAGCCTTCAACATGGCCCGGCAAAGTAAAATAAATATTTTAAAGCCCCTTCGTACCATCGTCTCACCTGCAAAAGGTGTCTAACAAACACGCACTTTGGGCGATGATTGATATGGCATTTTGGAGCGTGAAGCGAACGGGGGACATTTCCCCTTCCCAAACACAGAAAACGTCGAGTGTCAAAGTTTTTGTGCGCGCTTAGCGCATTTGATGAATTGTTAAAAGAAAATCGCGCGTATGTGTAAACATTTTGGTCTACTTCGGGGATAGGACAAAGAAATTCGTGCGGGGCTGAAAACGTATATATACTGTTCGGTGTCTGTGTGAAAATCAACAGTAGTACCAGCTACGAGGAATAAAAAAGCAAGCTTTTGAAACCGCCGACGAACAAATGGCGGAAGCCCCAGCAGCTGCTGATGATGATGGCGGTTGCTGTCGGTAAACAGAAACGAAATGAGTAGGGCAAAATATCGGGAGTCCAACATTGCTGACTGGTTAATGCTCTTCGTCGTAGCGGCCTTGACGGCGAAGATAAAACTAGCTATCAATGGGCCAAAGAAACCTGAATGAGAACTGAACGGTAAGAAAGTTAAGCCCGTGGAAAGTAGAGAACAGAAATGTGTTATGCATTTTTGACAAACAAGTTTTTTTTAGAATTTATCACAACAGTATTGAATTGCATGTAATATATTTATCAGTGCATCACTTTTTATTAAATAAGCCCTTTGACCAAAAGTATTACATTTCCTTATTAATGATTACATTTTATTAATGATTAGGAATAAATAACAAATTTTTTTGTTATAAATATTCAAGGCAATACAGACCTGCATCAAACAATTGTTTGAAATAATTTTCTCAACCATTTCTCTTTAACATTGACAAATTTCGCCAAAATAAATGTACTAAGCCAAAGCGAATAATTAGTGAATGGCACCTGAGCAAAATTAAAGGTGATTGCAAGAATGATTAATTTCTATGCTAATGCAGCTAAAATTAGCAGGAAACGTTTATTTATTTAATGCTAGTCATACTTGTATTTCTAGCGAAGGCAGAGTATGCCCATTCAGATACCGGGAAGGAAAACTTCTAGCAGGCTCTTCACTTTTAATCTGTCTTAGACCGACTAATACACACACGTAGGCACACACACACAAAAACTGTGGCACTTGAGCAAATATATG